GTGTGGCCAGGGTGAAATAGTTCTCTTAAAGCCTACCCCATTTCCTCTGCACCGCAAGAACCCCAACCTTCCTCATGTTCCCTCATGCCTCCTGTTGCCATATTGCATTCCACAAGCTGGTGGAGGGTAGGGATAGCCTTCTAGGAAAAATGGCAGCTGAGTACCTTTCACTGTGGCACAGGCCATAACACACAGAAGGGGACTAATTCCATAATCTGGAATGGCAACAGCTTCAAAATCAACAGTATTTGCCAAGCTGGTATTAAGACACTGGGCATGGGGGTGATTTGGGGATTTTTTTTGTACGCCAGCAGCTATGGAAGAGACACCTGCCTTTGGATAGGTCCTGGATAGTACTAATGTACTACTGTGACCCAAAGCATACGTATGTTACCTGCTTGTGTATTATACTGTATATCCATTGTCATAATGATAAAAAGCAGGATCAAACATTTGGGACCTATAAAAAGTAATTAAAAATCATAGATAAAATCAATGCATCTTTTTGTAAAAACAGCAAATGTTTCAATGTTTTTTCATACAAGCAATAAATCTTCCAAAAAACACTTAAACACAAATGATCAATTAATCTGTCATTTGCAGCTCGATCTCTTGCTTGCTTTCTCTGTCTTTTTCTCTCCCCCTCCTTCTCTCTTTCTTTCTTGCTCTCTCTTTCTCGGTCTTTCTGTCTTACACAATCTCAATCTCAAACCTGCCATATGAAAAACATGAATACTAACATTGCTACCTCTCTTGATGAAAATGCTAGTTGCCTGACTGTCATGCTTGCTCCCTTGACTTCAATATTTGCATCCAAGGAATTCTCACTTTTCTCTGGCTCTTCTGATCTGTATTGTTGGTTCCCGCTTCAAAGTCACTGCTTCAAAATGTACTGGCGCCAGAGGTCAGAATAACAGGCAGACAACTGTGATTGTCTGTAGGTGTCTAACAAAGGTAGCCCCTTTATTTATCTCATGACAGGGTTACTTTAAAGAAGAGCTCCAGGAACATACTGTAAGAATGATTTAGACATACCACTCAGTAAACAGAGAGGTTTTATCATTAAAAATGTCTAATAATTATTATTTATGTCATTTTAACTATTACAACAATTACTTGGCAGGCTTGTCACCTCCAGCAGCCATATTCAACTTCTAACACAGCAAGAATATGGGTGGAGACTTCCCTTAACACACATCACTTTCTTGTGCAGTCTGTGCTTACAGGGAACTGAATTTTCCAAAATGTCTAATCCATCTGGCATCTGGGCAGGGTCTATCACTGTAACTGCACAAAGAAAAGGGTGATATAGTCACTAGCCACCATTGAACAAAACCTGAACATATGATCCACATGAGAATTGAAATCATTTGTATTAACGAGCCAAATTTACTGAAGTGGGATGTGCAGTAAAGTAACATTGTATTCTTTTTAAGCATTCATTTTTTTACCAGAGAACCTCTTTTTAAAAAAAATTCCCTTGTACATGATTTGACGCTTTGTATTTACTGTCTTCACTCATGTCACTTCACACCTTAATAAATCAGGTCCTCAAGGTCTTAAAGGCTTCATTTAATAACATTATATAATAACAATACTTGTAATATTTTTAATTGATTTATTTTATTCAAGAATAAGAAACTTAAGATGAACAATGGATCCAGCATTTCAGAATTTATTCTTACTGGACTGTCAAATCCTCCTGAATTTCGAATTCTCCTATTTTTAGTAATTCTTGTAATGTACATAATAACTATAGGTGGCAATGTTCTCATTCTCTTTATTACAAATTTTGATTCTGCACTCAACACACCAATGTATTTCTTCCTTGGCAATCTATCCCTCTTGGATATAATATGCACTACTTCTGCAGTCCCTAAAATGTTGTTTAATTTAATTTCTCAGAAAAAAACAATATCATTTAATGATTGTATAATTCAGATGTTTGTTTTCACCGTTGGCATGGATACCGAGTTTCTGTTATTAACTTTTATGTCCCTTGATCGCTATCTTGCTATATGCAATCCTTTACGTTATAAGAGTATTATGAGCAAAAAGTCTTACATTTGTATGTCATTAATTGTCTGGATATTTGGATTTTCAAGTTCTAGTTTTCATTCATTGAGCACTTTATGGTTGTTCTTTTGTGGTCCCAAAGAAATCAATCATTTTTTCTGTGAGGTTCCACAAGTTCTAGCACTTTCCTGCACAGATACAACCCTGAACAAACGAGTACTTATAGCTACAGATCTTGTATTAGGACTTATCTGCATTATTCTTATTTTTATATCCTATATGTTTATAATTGTTGCTATATTTAATATCCAATCAAAAGAAGGAAAAAAGAAAGCATTCTCTACCTGTGCTTCTCACCTTGCTGTTGTGCTATTATTTTATGGAACATTAATTTTTGCTTACTTTAAACCATCAGACGATTCCTCTGATATGGACAAAGAAATTGCTGTGTTCTACACAATTGTCATACCAATGTTGAACCCTATTTTGTACAGCTTAAGAAACAAAGAGGTAAAAGCATCTGTTGAAAAGATGATTTTAAGAAAAATACTGTTGAGCACTAAATTCAACTCTGTATTATCAAGCTAGAAAATATAAAGTAAACAGCCCTGCTGTTTTTCACAATAAATGTCTTCTATCTGCTCCTGATAGCATTCAATAGTTGCTTTTTTATCACTTACTCATTGCTATAATTCCAATAATTCTCCTATTTATCATCATTATCACCTACATTGTATAGTAATGTTATGGAAAAAGGAAAAATGTAATACAAGCAAAAATACTTACAGAAAAAAAAAAAAAGAAGTTCCAGATACTTTTTCATGCACTTTTCACCATCAATCACATTATAGCTAAATTCCACTGATACATGTTCCCCATAAATTCCAGTGATTTTTAAATACAAAAATAAATGTAGAATAGATTACACATATCACATTTTCATGGGTAATGGTCACTCTAAATACTTTAAATCTGTACTTCCAGGTAATTTTAAAAGGCACTAATGCACCTTTCAGTTTCCACCCAAATGTCAACCCCTTTGTTTACTTGGATCAGAATGTCATTGTATTAGATCTGTCACTTGGGGGCTGATTTATCACATAAAAACTACCACCACTGGATGGAGCTGAGAAACATAGGAAGTGCCATGTGAATGTTATAAATGATACCCTTAGCTACAAAAGGGGGCTTTTGGAGCATACGTTAACTTCTATCGCCATTTAAAGAACCCTTGTCCCTATGCCTCTAACCCCTCATGCCTCATGTTCACAAACCTGGGGGACCTAATCAATGGGCTCCACATCACCAGGAAGCTATGTGGGCACTGCAGGAAGGAACCTTTCCAACTACAGACCAGAATGTAGAAGACCGAGACCCAGCATTTAGGGTGATCAGGATTTCAGGTAAGTAAACAGGCCTTTAAGATCCTACAATTCAGTGCATTCAGCTTTCTGCAGGTCTCCTAAATGCTTTAGTGAACTGAAATATAGAGCATAATTACTGAATTGTGAAGTACAGTGAAGAGGACACAGAGATAAAAAAAATAGAGTTCTTCTTTCTCTCTTCACTGCACATCAACTCTTCACACAATACACTTCCTACAGTATTGGGCAGCACCCACTTATCATATTAACACTCTACCATTTGAACCTCACTCTCCCCCCACACATGCAGATACTTGTCCCATAGAAGGCATCTTCACCCAATGTATAACTCCACTCGCTGCCGCTTGTCTTAGGCTAGATTCACATTACTTCCATTGCATTTGGTGAACACTGGTTTTTATTTAATACATTGCATTGATGTGCGGGTCTATTTGTTCATAGCAGGAGCCAAAATACATTACTGCAATACACTCTGATGCACTTTAATACATTGCAATGTGTTGTGCTACATTTAAATGAAGCATGCTCTATTCCTACTCAGTTTTAAACTGGGCCTATTGGAAACATAGGTTTCTGTTTATTATTGCATTGGGCCTACATTGAGCAACACAGCCCAATGCAGGCCAAATACATGGTATGGATGTGCACTTCGTATAAAAAGTAGCAATGGGCACAGCACTTTTTGTTATGACAAGCATTGAGAGTGCTTTCCTGCTCTCGCTTCCTCTGCTCGCCACCCTGGTCACGTAGACACAAAAGCTTAGAGGGTTATTCACAAAGCTGCCGAAGGCAGCCAAATGAATAACCGACCCCAAGTGAACACTGTTCGGCTATTCACTTCAGGCTTGTACGGCTGATTTCAGCCGTACATCGGCTAAAATCAGCCATACTTCGGTTGGCTTCGGTTCGGCCAAACATGCTCAGCATGTTCGGCTGAGCCAAAGTGCAGAAGGAGTTTGACTCAGCCGATCCAACATCTGGATCGGCTGAGCTGAACCTCCAGCAGACTACTTGCTGCCGTTCGGCCTATTCTCATATGGGCTGAACGGCAGTGAGTGAATACCCGAATGTGGTACCGAGCAGGAATAGAAAAACAGTGCAAAAAGTTGGAAAAAAAGTAGCAATTTTTAAAAAAAAAAAAAGGTAAATAAATGATAAATCTTACAAAATAAATAACGATTTTAAAAAAACTAAATAAAAAAACATATATAACAGGAAAATTGTATTTCATACTTACCGTAATTTTCCTTTCCTGTCCAGCTCCAACCATGATGTGGCCAGACTCCTAGTGGAAATGCGCAAACACCCCACTTGGGACAGTCATGTGCTCGGCTTCATATGCTAACGACATCGCCATCCCTATCAAGGATGCTATGAGCCTACTGGATGCCATCCTTCCTGGCACCTGCTGTAACGATAGAGATGACCCGTAGACCTGAGCTCTTCCGTGGCCAAAATATACGCCTTTAGCGTATTACCTAGGTCCAAGCGGCTAATCTGGCCCCCATCATCCGACTTGAAGGTTGGTAATACAATTTCTTGGTGTATGTGAAAGTCAGTCACAACCTTGGGAATGAACCTCAGCATGGGAACTAGAATCACTCCATCTGCCAAAGTGAAGAAGTGTTTTTTAAACTCAAGAGCGGCCAACTCCAAAACCCGTCTGATGGAGGTGATAGCAACTAGAAAGGCAGCGTTTAATGCGAGGACGAGTAGTACTGGGCTTCCTAGAATGAAGAAGAGTATTGACTACCCTATCTGAGCAACCCAATGTGAGAAGTCTCCGCCTCTCAATATCCATGCTGCTAGGCAAAGTTTCACAGGTGCTGGGTGAAGGATCGGACAGTGAAAGAAGATCGGTCAATGGCGGTAAGAATAGTGGAGGCTGGATACCCATCAGGCGGAGGAGAGGATACTAAGGCCCCTTGGGCCGGTTCGGAATCACTGCCAGGACAGCCACCTATTCTCTCCAGAGTCTCCTCAGAAATTGTAGTATGAAAAAGGCACTGGTGGGAAGGCGCAAGCCGTCCGAATGTCCACTCTGCTGGCAGAGCGTCCATCGCCACCGCTTGTACACATGAAAACTTCGAGAAAAACTTCATGACTTCGGTGTTTGTTCGGGACAAAAATAGGTCTACTTCTGGAGCTAAGCTCCAGGACACCGTGTCCTGAAATACGTAATCGAGGAGACACCACTCGTCGTTGTCCAGAGGAACTCTGGATAGATAATCTGCTTGGTGATTGAGGGGACCCGACACGTACACTGCCAATAAGTGAAGATGGATCTGAGCCCAGGTAATAAAAGGAGAGACTTCATTCAGCAGGGCACGACTGCGTGCACCCCCTTGTCTCTGGATACAAGCCATTGCTGAGGTATTGTCGATTTTCATCAAAACTGACTTCCCCAGGATAAATTGCTGGAAGGCCAATAGCGCCTGAAACACTGCCCTCAGCTCCAGGACATAACTCCTTGTCTGTAGTGGCCTCTGACAACATGATTAACACGCTGTTTTCTCCGATAAGGCCATACTGGTATATGCCCAATAAGCCCCCGAAGGGGCTGAGGATGGTGGGAGGGACCCAGGATGCGCTGAGGGAATCCGCTGATTTACAGACAGAAACCGGTTGCAAAATCTTCTGTCGGAACAACGAGTGTCTTGCTCTGGAGACGATGATCTCCCTCAAATAGACGCAGAGGACTCACTGCGCTCCCGAACATGGTTTTGGTGACAGCTGGGGACAGAGGGGATTTCCCACAACTTTTAAAAGATTTCCTACTAATTCCTGTTGCATCTCCATGAGCAGAAGTGACTGGAAATTTCACCAATCGGGCATAGACACACAAGAAACGGTGCTTTTAATAACTTCCTACTCTATCCAAAGCTAAGAAAATATGGGGTCTATTTACTAAGCTGCCGAGGGCAGCCGAGTGAATGACCGATCTGAAGTGAAGTGAGCCGAACACTGTTCGGCTATTCACTTCAGGCTGGTACGGCTAATTTCAGCCGTACATCGGCTGAAATCAGCCGCACATCGGCTTGCTTCGTGTGGCTTCGGGTCGGCCGAACATGCTCAGCATGTTCGGCCAATGATCGGGAGCTGTACGGGCTATTGTGAATAGCCCGTGCAGCACCCGTTCGGTTATAATGAACCGAAGTGGTCCTGGGGCCGAAGCTAGCCGAAGGATCGGCCGAAGCTACGGCCAGATCCTTCGGCAGCTTCGTGATACACTTTTTTTCATGGATACACTTCAAGAATCAAACATCTGGTAAAACTGGGAATTGCAGCCGGTATTGCAGATAATATTTTTAGTTGACCACGTTTCCTCAACATTTAGATTGGCTTGCTTATTTCTAATTATAGTCCAATAATGTGTTTTACTCCAGATTTATAATAATATTGATACTACCTTGCTGTGTTGGTCTCTAAAGACAACAATTATCATGGGTTGAGGCTTCCAAGCCCATAAAAATGAGCCATTACTGCTTTGCAAACTGTAGAGAAGCTGGTTTATTCTCCTACACCAAGACACATACAGTTTACATTTTAATTTAATATTGTCTCTATTGCAAGAACAGCTAACTCTTCCTCCCACAAACATTACTGCCTTTTACATGTCTACTGTCTTTGTACTATGTAAACAAAACCAGTGTAAGATATGCCTTTATTTAATGAATCAAGAGTGACTGAATTTTTGCTTGCTGGATTTTCAGTCATCCACAAATTTCAAATATCCACTTTTCTTTTCTTTCTCATTATATACCTAGCAACATTATTAGGAAATGTTGTTATTATCACACTGGTATGGACACACCCTCAGTTGAAAACACCAATGTATTTTTTTCTATGTAACTTATCCTTTTTGGAAATCTGGTATACATCAGTCACACTTCCTAAGATGTTATATGACCTTCTTCTTACAAAACAAAGGATATCCGTTATTGGTTGCATTGCTCAGTGTTACTTTTTTTTCTTGCTTGGAGGTATTGAAAATTACTTTCTTGCAGTTATGGCATATGATAGATATTTAGCTATTTGTAACCCATTAAGATATTCAACAATCATGAATCCTGTGTTTTGTTGTCATCTGGCTGTAGGATGTTGGTTATGCAGTGTTTTAGGCTCAGTTTTGCCTCTGTATTGGTTATGCAATCTATCATTTTGTGGTCCAAACCACATTGATCACTTCTTTTGTGATGTGGT